GGTTCGTATCCTGGCCGGGGAGGATTTACTGGGCGCAATTCCTTAACTGTAGCCTCTGTTTAACGCAACAGTAAAATGTGTACTTGGTTGTAACAACGATTCTTCGCGGCGGGGATCGTATTCCAGGGACCTGCCCGAAACGCTACGCGTACTAGTGGCTGTACAAGAATGTAACAACTCTTGTATATATCTCAAAAAAAAAGGTAGATATAGGGCGAACCGGCACGCATGACAAGCGACATCATCCAGGTAATTATTCCTTGGTCCTTATCTTATATAATATACAAATGTTTCCTCTGATATAACTGTCATATAGATAGGATTCCGACTTTACAGCGAGTGTTCTTTGTCAGGAACAATAGAAAAAGTAAGCAAGAATTAATCTTGGTACACCAGTACCTGGGTGTTGGGTGTCTTGGTACACCAGTACCTGGGTGTTGGGTGTCTTGGTACACCAGTACCTGGGTGTTGGGTGTCTTGGTACACCAGTACCTGGGTGGTGATGCTGGTCTCAACCACCAGGATTATTGGGTGTCATCATCCTTGTTATACCTGCTGGACTAAGTCTGCCATACAATAAGCTAAGACCTCCTAATTTATTTACTAATATATGTAGTTTAATATTGTAGTTTGATTGGCTGCATATATATTTAAATTTAATATTAACCCCCCTAATGTGTAGAGAGTCGATTTGTGAGAATATGGCAGAAATACAGTCCGCTCAAACCTCATACAAATTGCTGTCGAAATATATAAATTAATGTAAATATTAACACTATATAAATTCATATAAATTAAATAAATATAAATCTTTCAAGTCGGTCTCCCACAGAGAGTGATTAGATACAGATATCCTTATATAGAGGGAAAAGGAGATATAGTGAGTGTGATAGTAATTAATGAGAGTAATAGGGATAGCAAGAGGGTGACAGTGTGATAGTGAGAGTGAAAGTGAGAATGATAGTGGGAGTGAAAGTGAGAATGATGGTGAGTGAAAGTGAGAATGATAGTGGGAGTGAAAGTGAGAATGATGGTGAGTGAAAGTGAGAATGATAGTGGGAGTGAAAGTGAGAATGATGGTGAGTGAAAGTGAGAATGAAGGTGAGAGTGAGAAATAATAGTGAAAGAGGGTGAGTAATTGTGAGAGTGAAAGAGAGTGCAGAAGAGTATAGAAATTAAATTCTAAAAATTAACTGAATTAATTAGTAATGAGTTCATGAATTAATTAGTAATGAGTTAATGAATTAATTAAATAACGTTTTATTATTACACTCCTGGGACCTCGGGAGTGTCCCATTACTACACATGTCAAATGAGGTCATCAAATGAGTTCTTCATTACATAACATATTTATTACAACAATAACACACAAGGGGCTTATACAAAAGTGTGGTGGTAGCGGGCTGTGAGTTCTCCCATAGCTCAAGCCTTACCCTACTACCTCGGCTTATTGCTCACAATACAATTATTAGGACCTAAGGTGCAATTTTCATTTTCGTTTTTGTCACTTTTGCCACGGTTGTCATTTTGAAACATAAAGATATATATAAATATATGCAAAGGGCCTATTGGCCCATATTTCTTGATGCGTATATATTGGTGCGGAGTCTTGAAGTGGGTAGAATATAGTTGTGTATTAATGCACAACTATATTCTACCCACTTCAAGACTCCGCACCAATATATACGCATCAAGAAATATGGACCAATAGGCCCTTTGCATTTACTCCCATTCTTACCCTTTAAATTTACCCAAAATATATATATATATATATATATATATATATATATATATATATATATATATATATATATATATATATATATATATATATATATATATATATATATATATATATATATATATATATATATATATAAGCTATACTTGCATAAACCACAAGTGAAGATAAACTGAGATATATATTTGAGATATATTTATATTTGAGATATTTGAGATATATATCTCGAACTATCTACTTCTTTTGTAAGGTCTGATGGCGTAGTGGGTTAAAGCATACTAGTTATGCCAGCTACTGGAAGGTAGTTGTGCTTTCTGGGTTCGAGTCCCACTGGTGGGTGTTGTCCAAAGATTGTTTATCTTCACTTGTGGTTTATGCAAGTATAGGCTTATAAGCTGGACACGAGTTCTCTCACATTGACAGTGGCTTGACGAAAAATGCAGACTGACCCCTCACTCATCTGGTGCCTTCGGGAGGTAGAGATGTTTGAGATATATATATCTCGAACTATCTACTTCTTTTGTAAGGTCTGATGGCGTAGTGGGTTAAAGCATACTAGTTATGCCAGCTACTGGAAGGTAGTTGTGCTTTCTGGGTTCGAGTCCCACTGGTGGGTGTTGTCCAAAGATTGTTTATCTTCACTTGTGGTTTATGCAAGTATAGGCTTATAAGCTGGACACGAGTTCTCTCACATTGACAGTGGCTTGACGAAAAATGCAGACTGACCCCTCACTCATCTGGTGCCTTCGGGAGGTAGAGATGTTTGAGATATATATATCTCGAACTATCTACTTCTTTTGTAAGGTCTGATGGCGTAGTGGGTTAAAGCATACTAGTTATGCCAGCTACTGGAAGGTAGTTGTGCTTTCTGGGTTCGAGTCCCACTGGTGGGTGTTGTCCAAAGATTGTTTATCTTCACTTGTGGTTTATGCAAGTATAGGCTTATAAGCTGGACACGAGTTCTCTCACATTGACAGTGGCTTGACGAAAAATGCAGACTGACCCCTCACTCATCTGGTGCCTTCGGGAGGTAGAGATGTTTGAGATATATATCTCGAACTATCTACTTCTTTTGTAAGGTCTGATGGCGTAGTGGGTTAAAGCATACTAGTTATGCCAGCTACTGGAAGGTAGTTGTGCTTTCTGGGTTCGAGTCCCACTGGTGGGTGTTGTCCAAAGATTATATATATATATATATATATATATATATATATATATATATATATATATATATATATATATATATATATATATATGTCGTAGCTAGTAGCCAGAACGCACTTCTCGGCCTACTATGCAAAGCCCGATTTGCCTAATAGGCCTAATGATTTTCTTTATTTTCAATAAATTGTTTCCAATTAGTGAATTTGAATTATTAATATTATATTATAATAAGAACATAAATTACTGACTTATGTTAGTTTAGGTTAGGTTTAGATAGGTTAGGTTAGATAGGGTTGGTTAAGTTCGGTCATATATCAACGTTAGTTTTAACTCAAATTTAAACAAATTAACTCATACATAATGAAATGGATAGGATTTATCATTTCATAAGAAAAAATAGAAAAATATATAAATTCAGGAAAACTTGGCTTATTAGGCAAATCGGGCCTTGCATAGTAGGCCGAGTACGACGTTCTGGCTACTAGGTACAATAAAATATATGCGAACAAGCCTGAATGGTCCCCAGGACATATGCAACTGAAAACTCACACCCCAGAAGTGACTCGAACCCATACTCCCAGAAGCAACGCAACTGGTATGTACAAGACGCCTTAATCCACTTGACCATCACGACCGGACAAAATGAGGTGATAGCCGAGGCTATATGAACCACCCCACCGCCGGCACTCGGATAGTTATCTTGGGCATAGCATTTTACCAAATAACCTCATTCTTTGGGGCACACGTGAGGAACACAAATGCGAACAAGCCTGAATGGTCCCCAGGACATATGCAACTGAAAACTCACACCCCAGAAGTGACTCGAACCCATACTCCCAGAAGCAACGCAACTGGTATGTACAAGACGCCTTAATCCACTTGACCATCACGACCGGACAAAATGAGGTGATAGCCGAGGCTATATGAACCACCCCACCGCCGGCACTCGGATAGTTATCTTGGGCATAGCATTTTACCAAATAACCTCATTCTTTGGGGCACACGTGAGGAACACAAATGCGAACAAGCCTGAATGGTCCCCAGGACATATGCAACTGAAAACTCACACCCCAGAAGTGACTCGAACCCATACTCCCAGAAGCAACGCAACTGGTATGTACAAGACGCCTTAATCCACTTGACCATCACGACCGGACAAAATGAGGTGATAGCCGAGGCTATATGAACCACCCCACCGCCGGCACTCGGATAGTTATCTTGGGCATAGCATTTTACCAAATCACCTCATTCTTTGGGGCACACGTGAGGAACACAAATGCGAACAAGCCTGAATGGTCCCCAGGACATATGCAACTGAAAACTCACACCCCAGAAGTGACTCGAACCCATACTCCCAGAAGCAATGCAACTGGTATGTACAAGACGCCTTAATCCACTTGACCATCACGACCGGACAAAATGAGGTGATAGCCGAGGCTATATGAACCACCCCACCGCCGGCACTTGGATAGTTATCTTGGGCATAGCATTTTACCAAATCACCTCATTCTTTGGGGCACACGTGAGGAACACAAATGCGAACAAGCCTGAATGGTCCCCAGGACATATGCAACTGAAAACTCACACCCCAGAAGTGACTCGAACCCATACTCCCAGAAGCAACGCAACTGGTATGTACAAGACGCCTTAATCCATTAATTCCTTAATTCTGGGAGTATGGGTTCGAGTCACTTCTGGGGTGTGAGTTTTCAGTTGCATATGTCCTGGGGACCATTCAGGCTTGTTCGCATTTGTGTTCCTCACGTGTGCCCCAAAGAATGAGGTGATTTGGTAAAATGCTATGCCCAAGATAACTATCCGAGTGCCGGCGGTGGGGTGGTTCATATAGCCTCGGCTATCACCTCATTTTGTCCGGTCGTGATGGTCAAGTGGATTAAGGCGTCTTGTACATACCAGTTGCGTTGCTTCTGGGAGTATGGGTTCGAGTCACTTCTGGGGTGTGAGTATATATATATATATATATATATATATATATATATATATATATATATATATATATATATATATATATATATATATATATATATATATATATATATATATATAAACATACATACGTATATTTGTTTGTACTGTTACCATCTATAACGATACTGATAGTATGGGTTCACACTCAGTTAACTATGTGAAGCCGGTGTTATGAGGTGGGTATATACAGCAGGGACACGCTTCATCTGATCAACACGTCCAAAGAGTTTGGTCTGCTGTTTGAGGTGTCTGATATCACTGTCGTGCGGGAAGGTCACTGGCAGAGCGGGAGATCGGGGAGGTCAAGGTGAGACCTGACCCGTAGCTGACCGCTGATGACCCATCTGGGGAGGTGAGAGGCGCTCTCTCCATGATGGCGGTGTCGCTCTGGGTCCGGGTTATGGGTATTAATGGCGGCGGTGCAGTTCTAAAAGACGTGGATGGTGCCAGCTGCGTGGCTTGCTCATAGGACGGCGGTGTGAGGGAACTGTAGGGAGGAGGGGCGTCACTCGTGGTATTGACGACTGGGGCGTGGCTCGGGGGTAGGGCGGCATTCTCCCCGTCTGCGTTGTCTCGAGCCGCCAGGCGACGACGTTGCAGACGGAAGTGGTAAGCCGTGGTGTAGATGAGGATGAGGAAGGAGACGAAGATGAGCAGGCAGATGAGCACAGGGGCGGCGACACTGTAGGCTGGAGGGCTCATCCTGGCGGGTCCTCTGGTGGGCGGCGGCGAGGCGTCGGGTTGGTGGAGGCAGGCGCCATCACTCCGCTTGGCGCCTTGTGGACAGTTACACCTGCAAGATGATCACCATTAGTTCCCTGATTATTCATCTACATCTTTATTTATCCTCACTCCCTCTTTGTCTTCCTTTCTCAGTTACTGAAACTTGTCTTCATCTTATAGTGAGAGGGTCTTGTGATGTTCGTGGTGATCTATATGTATATATATATTACCACTTAATGTCTACTAATTTATGTATAAAGTGTTCAATATCTCATTTTCTATCCCAACACCAATTGCTGCGCCTCGCTGTAAGCTCAACAAGTCTAAACTTAGCTGTAATTACGACTGCTAGTCGTAATTACAATGATTTAAGTGAGTGTTCTCCGTAAGCAAGACAGTGGATCGAGCACAATAATCCTTACTCTTTTTCTCCTGAGGTATGTGTGTGTAGCTTCCAGACGGAGTGTGAATCATCGGCCACGCTCACTAATGGTGTTTGGTCAGGAGAGGGAGTATATGTACCGCTGTGACTACGTCTCATACACCCCTACTCCTGTGCCAGGTAAGTCCACTACGGGCTCACCATAGCCCGTGCTACTTGCAACTTGTTGTTCCCAGTAGCTGACTTTAAACAACAAAAAGAGTCTCGTCCTCCGACACATAATGTACCCAGTGTTCACAATCATTTCTCTTTCACTGTATTTTGCAATGAAAATCTCATCTGTGGTCTCACATTTACTGTCTTGTGATCAAGCATATCTTTTCCCCATTCTGTCTGGCGGGGGATCTCAACCATTTGGGGTGGACAGTAGAGCGACTGTCTCGCTTCATGCAGGTCGGCGTTCAATCCCCGACCGTCTGAGGTGGTTGGGTACCATTCCTTCATTCCCTCCCCCCCCCTATCTCATCCCAAATCCTTATCCTGATCAAATCCCAGTATTATATAGTCGTAATGGCTTGGCGCTTCTGATTGTTCAAGTTACAGCCCCGCTCCTGTGCCAGGTAAGTCCACTACGGGCTCACCATAGCCCGTGCTACTTTTTCTTCTTGATGGTACGTAGAGTTTGCATGAAGGGTTTATCTTCCCGATGACTGCACGAGTACAAATGTTGGGAGACGCGTTAATGTTGAGAATGACAAGCTTTCAAAAGGGGTTGTTGCGTCGTACTGTAGATAGAGGAGAGGCGACTAAACATAGGCGTGTGTTAGAGCAGCCCGTCCTCCAAAGAAAGACCCAAAAGTGATTCCATACACCCGCCAAACCCCCTGTTTATGAAAGGAAAACGGTTTACACATGACTCACAACTGATTTCGTTCGAACACTTCCGGAACAAGTGTTTCACTGACGACTTTTGTTCTGTAACCGGATACAGCAGTGTCGTCGACGTTGAGACGGAGCTTGGAGCAGAGCAGAGAGCTGAGTGAGGCCGGAGTTGCGGAGCTCTATGTGGGAGAGCGTGGCGGCTCGATTGGGAATTGCGAGTGTCTGAACTCGGGAAGCGAGAGCGTTGTAGCTCGATGCGGTCGTAGTCTGCTGTCTGCTCTGTGTCGAAGCTGTAGCGTCTTGGGTCGATTAGAACTGTACACGCCGAGTGCTACATTGTTGACTGTGGAAATTGTACTGTCCGCTATTCCTCATATCGCTTGCTTATATGGTGACTACACCTCGGCTCTCTCCAACAAGATGAGAAGAGTATTACCTGTAATTGGGGAAAGGATTGTAGCTTCTGTAATTAGTGCTAATTAGTTATGCTATTAAGATGATGAGATAATGGAGCGAGTATAAGATTAACTCGCTACAGTTCGAACCACAATGCTGTAAATGCTTCACCAATGTACTACAAATACAAATAATAGCCAACAGAACCTAACCTAACCTATGTCTATATATGCACAATATGCTAATATAGTATAATATTAATTTATATTTGAGAAAATTCCCATTTTGAATGAACAGAATGTTAAAATTTAGGAATGCGTCTGTGGGGTCGACCGCTGGATGTAATGGACTTGAGTCGAGGACGGGTTGGAGAGGGAGACTTGCCGCACCGTAGGGCGGTGTGTTGTGTTTATGGCGTCAGCTGATCCTTGGTGCTGCGGCGAGGCAGTTGTTGTCTGTGCTTGGCTGTTTGTGACGTCAGGTATAAATTTATGTGGCACGGGTCAAATGTGACCCAATTTGTTGGTCGACTGGAGATATTTAGCAAGTGCTTTGACTATATGATATTTTTCATGTAAGGAGAGGTCACCTCTTAATATATGCTCGATGATAAAAGATATTTTAAGTGCGATAAGTAGTTGTTTGAAGTTTACTCTGGCACTATCATGTCGGAAAGAGTGAAGGAGGTAGTGATCGATTGTTTCAGGCACCTGACAGTGGATGCAGAGTTCGTTGATGTCTGTTCTGTACTTAGAGCTGTGTGCTGCCAGTGTGGTGTGTCCCAGCCTTAATCTGGTCATCGTTACATCAATTTCTCTGCTTTTATATCTGACATGTTTCCAAGTTTCTCATTTCTTTTTTTTGGACCCATAGTATAAAGGTGAGCATGACGTTCTCCATTTCATTACAAAATCTTGGGTGATGGTATCTTTGAAGACTCCTTTATGTGCAACATGATGAATTGGATGACAGGTAATGTGAGGCGTATGACAACCCCTTGGAACAACCCTCTGAAGGTTCCAAAGAGTTGTCATAGCCAGGGGATGGTAATGGGGGACGAGCTCCCATGACCTCTGAAAAGCAGTCCGGCAGAACTGCTTTTACTGACAAGAGAAGAGGCGAGGGCGTGTCTCTGGCGCCTTAAAACCAGTTGCAACGGGTAGATGGGACTCGATAGCCTAGGAAGACAGCTCATCTAGGGGAAGGATAATCCTGATTTTAAACCTCCTTGCGACCATACCCCTCTTTTGGGAAAGGCTTCAGGAGTCAACCTCGAAAAAAAATCCGGAGTTGGAGCCCCTAAGGCAGTTCATTGTTGACTTCGACCTCGTTCTTGCAGCTCCTGCGACTTGCGACTGTGTTGGAACCATGTGTATTGGCAATTGCCTTTCCATTGGATAATTTCAGCAACGTGAAGAGGGGAGGGGGACCTGCTGCATGGATAACAGCTTCTCCTCCATATCTACCTACCCAGGCTTTGCGCCCTGGAGAGGACACTCCAGCCTCGACAACCAGAGCGCAATTCCATAGTCTTCCGAGGCTGAAGGGTGCTTACTACTAGAATGTGAGGTGTGTTGTGCATTGCTTTGGCTAGTTGATCTACAAGTTCATTATGGAGAATACCACAGTGCGCTGGGATCCATTATAAAGAGGTGTCAACCGTTCAATCGATTATCATGAAGTTGAAGATATAGGTAAGCAAACTCCTTGCACGTTATTGAAAAGGTATGTAATTGCTTGAATCGCCCTCTTGGAGTCACTATAGATTGTATATATCCCAACTGGTAATGTTGTGATTATTTGGAAAGTTTGATATAAGGCATATAATTCAGCTGTGAAAATAGATAGTTGGTTTGGTAACCGCCATCCCTGCTTGAGATGGTATTCCGGTATCCATACAGCGCTAGTGACTGAGGGTACGTTGTTCATGATGATGCGAGATCCATCTGTATAAATCACTGTGGTATTTGGGCAGCAATTTTTCATTGTTGAGACAAAGACTGAGACTATGGCTGAGTTTGGTGCAGACTTTGGAATGTTGTCTTCGAGTTGTATTGCTGTATTAGGAGTTGTATAAAGCCAAGGTGGAATAGCGGGGAACAGTAAGTTGGGTTTCACAGTTTTGAAGTAAAGTTAGGTCTATATTGAGGCTATTTGTGGCACGTATGAGGAATGGTTGCGAGTGATTGGTTGAGATGCGGGAGTTATGTGGGCTAACTGTTGGGTTAATTTTTGTATGGGTGCGTCGGGTGAGCAGTGGTACAGAGTGACAGATAGTTGGCACACATTATGTCTCGTCTGGTGGCTAAGCTTGTGAGGCCCGTTTCCCCGTAAAGTCCGAGGATAGAAGTGGAACGCATTGCGCCACATATAAGTCGTATGGTATTGTTTTGTATGACCTCTAGGCTCTGTAGGTTAGTGGGCGCCGCCGACGCATAAGCCTGACAACAATAGTATAGTTGGCTGCGAATGTCGGTTGTATAGAAACGGAGCAAAATGTTATGGTGTGTTCCCCAGGTGGTGCCAGTGGCACCACCTGGGGAACACACCATAACACCACTATAACACCACACCAGTGGTGCCAGTGGCACCACCTTTAAGCATGGCGAGTCGGGGTTGTGTCGTCTGTTTAAGGTGTTGAATGTGTGCTTTCCAGGTAAATGAGGGCGAGTCTAAGTGCATGCCAAGGTATTTATGTTCCCGTGTGTGTTGGATGGGATTGTTGTGTATTGTGAGGTGCTTAGATGAACAAGTCTTTTTTTTTATTAAGATCTGATAACAGGTTTTAATAGTACTAACTTGAACAGGTTTTAATAGTACTAACTTGAACAGGTTTTAATAGTATTAACTTGGAGGCCCCATTATTGTGTCCAATCTATGAAGTGGTCAAGTGCTGTTTGCATTGTTGAGACTATATTAGGTAAGGCATTGTCTGAATAATATATTGTTAAGTTGTCGGCGTACGCCGAGAGGTGAACAGGATGGGTGTTAGGCAAATCTGCAAAGAATGCAGCAAAAAGGGGTTGAGCTTAGAATGGAGTCTTGTGGGACAAATTGTTCGAATTGTAATGCTATCTGAAAAACCGCCTTGTATATATACTTTGGAGGACCTGTTCGTAATATTCATAATCTTCCCTGTATACCTAAACGTGCAGGCTTTGCCAAGAGGCAAGTATGAGGAATGCTATCAAAAGTTCCTTTAAGGTCTAAGTAGAGAACAATGTAAAATTTACTGCTTCTAAGAGAGGTGCATGATCAAGGCAGAGTAGTTAATTAAGTGTGGAGCATTGCGGTCGAAATCCAGTTTGAAATGACTGTATAATATTATTATGCTTAAGGTACCATTGGAGGCGAGTATGTACTAGTGTTTACTGAGACAGGATGGTAAGGAGATAGGTCTGGATGACGCA